AGTGGAGTGTAGGCCAGGGGTATATGGGGTGAAAAGGATTCACCAGAGAGAGAGTGGGGAGCAGAGCAGGTGGATCTACTGAAATACACTGCTAAGGGGAGCAGCGGGCAAGGCAGGAGAGGTCTGCTGTGGCAACTTTGGGTTAGTTGCCTGGCTGTGGATGGAACTCAGGCCTCAGCAGTGATAGCGCTGAAACTTAACCCTTAGGCCAGCCAGGGAGGCCTGATACACAAAGTCTTAACCCTCTTTCACATGACAGCACTTCAGTTACTCTAAGGTAACTGTCATGCCCCACTGCCTCCAAGGCTTTATCTTTCCAAGACCATCATCCATTTTATAAATCATTCCTTCCTGTTCAAGTATTCTTGCTGTGTCAGGAGGCGGAGGCTCCTGCCAATAGAAATTGGGGATCACTGTTTCAACCCAATGTGTTATCAAAATATGAAGTGCCAACCCTGAATTATTCACTACCTCAAACTTTACTCAGACTAAAATCACCAACTTTAATCTCTTTTTCTGTTAACCAAGAATATATCTGGGAAGCTATTAATATTCATTAGGTAATTGGTTAGCCTCCATTTTCTGTCAGGAGACATCAGGAGGTTTTAATGTTGCTAAATGTTAGTCACTCTCAGGAAGACCAGTTGTGAGTGGGCCATTAGGCAAAGTGACAAGAAGAAAAGGAAATGCATCTTGGATGTAATTATCACTGTGTTATAAGATTGGGGAGAAATGCAAAAGCATCGAAAATAACATGTAAATTAAAAAAACCCATACTCTGCCACATGAACTGTATCCAAGAGGAGAAAGAGACACACCATCAAGGAAAAGATTAGTACATTGGAATTCCGGAAAGCAAAAAAAAATTGCACAGGAAAAGATTTCATGAAGAAGTAAAAAGGAGCAGCCACAATTTGGATGAAATTATTTTAACACATGAAAAGTGAAAGATTTGCAGCCAGTGAACAAATAATTTATATAAATCTGAAAGAATAATATTAAAGCAACCAATATGAAAAACTGGCAAGGGTTTGAATTCACAGGCAGGATAGTCAAATGGCCAAGATGACATATTCTGCTTCAATAGTAAAAAGCACTATAAATGCAATTAATTAAAATGACATTTAGTAGATTCACAATAAACATTAATACAAGTGAGTAAACAGTAAGTCTCCTTCAGTACTGGTATGATTCTAAATTGGCCCACCAACTTTGAGATTTTTACAGTAAAATGAATTGTTTGTAATACTATAGTTTTCCATACTAGCAAACAATCTAAATTTATAGTTTTCTATACTAGCAAACAATCTAAATATCCATCATGTATTTAAATCTTAAAATAGACATTTAAGCTTTTGACAAAACTAATCATCAAGAGAAGAATACACACCAAAATCTGGTTAAGATGATTTTAGAACAGAGGCAAGTGATTAGTGTCAGGAGAACTATTTGAATAGTACATCATGTGTATCTGGATTTTTTTAATGTTATTTATATTTATCTGAAGAACATGCTATAACATGCTAAAACTTATTTAGGCTAGGTGGTGTTTTTTCTGAGTGGTTTTTTTTAAACTTGTGTACATTTTTAACAAATTAATATTTTCTATATGTTTGGAATATTTTCTAAATTCAAAATCCACTTGTATTTTTCACAGCCCCTGTTGCATCATTTTCAAATTCTAAAACTTATACCTAAAAATAGCATTCCAAGTTCAGGCTACCCAGCCTAAATTAAAACTAAGGCTAAAACTGTTTTTTTCCAGTATGCATTTTGTGAACACAGACTAATATTTTAAATTACATTGTAATGTCATCCTATAGCTGTCCCATATTGTTTTTATGCCATTGACTCAGTCTGTAGATTCACCATCTCTTCAGTACTCTTCTCATCCTCACATGACATAGTGTGCAGGTACAAATCACTTTTTTGATCTCCACTCATAAAGTGAACATTGGTAGCTGACCCGGATATCTGCTGTTGTGTAAGTGCCATTCCAGGGACATTGAAAAGGAGGAATAAGTGACCTAAATTAGGGTTCTGACCAAATTATTGCTTTGATACTTGAGCTTTTAAGCTAATATAAAAAATTAATTTGTCATTAAATAGTGGAGTTGAGTCTTTTAGTTGTAAGTGAAAATTTCCTAATAACAGAATTACATCAAGAAACATTAATATTACATGAAATAAATCCTAAATGTGGAATGTGTTGCAATCAGGAAGAACAATAAAGTGTACATACTGAGTTAAAAATCAGCAATCTTTACTATGTATAGAATTCTTCTCAAACAGTGGTTTATTTTTTCCTTGATAAGCAGCATATGCTGCAAGGTAACTGCATTAAGACAGTTGGCAGAAGTAGTTTAATATGCTACATTGTGTTCACAGGGCATAACCTTCATGATAGACTGTTAGAATGAATGTTTATATTAAAGTTGACCATTCTGAGATCATAGAGAAAAGAAAATTTTGCTTTTCTGGAAAAAACCTTTTCTGAATATAATCTGTAATGCATGTTGGCTGAGTGTGGAAATCTGATCATGTATACAGGCTTAGAAAAACCCGATCTCTGTCCTAGCTGGCCAGTACCAGCAGAAATATGGAGGAAACATCCATTGCAGAAACAAGTTGGGGACCAGGAATAGCAAACACAACCCAAAGCACCTTTGTCAGACTTTCTACCTTCAAAGGGTGTTATGATGACTCATTAAAGGGATGTTGCTGGGTTCTACCTAGAGGAAAGAGTACATTGCCCTTTCTTCACCACCTGCCTTATGCTTTTATACTGTCTGAGTAATAGATACCAAAGGATGCCTAAGCACTGGACAGTGCCACTAAGCAAAGCAAAATCCTAAGGCTATGATCTAGGCTCAAGGAAGAAGAAGACAACATCTCTGGCTTTGGTCATTAATATAATACAGTAAAGCATGTGTTTTTAAAAAGGCCCGTTTGTTTTTAAAGAAGGTGTCTATAGAAAGAAACCCTAACTGGACATATTACCCTTATTATTGCACAAATCAAAAAAATCTTAGTTTCTTAATTCACTTTAACAGCCTATCACCCAGGTTTTCAGTTTAGTTTCTGAGCAATCAAGTCTTTCTTCTCAATTTCAACTAAAATATGCAGCTGGTCTGAATCGCTTTGAATCTTCATTCTGTGATAAATATTTAAACCTCTCCTTGTTACATTTTCCCCATGAATTTGTTTCTGAAAAGTCACTAAATTTCCTTTACATGATAGCTATGAAGTGGCAAGTGGGTTAGCAGCTCACATAGCTCAAGCCAGGCTGACCTTTTATTCAGTGATTTGTTCTGGGAAATAGAGTTTAAAGGATAATGCATGTTCAACTTAAAGTAACATAAGGTGAGGGCAAATCATTCACTAGATTATTAGATGAAAGATACAGAAAATAACACAACAGCATCCACTAGAATGCTTATGAGAGGGAACCACATGTCTATCTACAGATACGTATGGTGGGCAGCACTGAGGAGTCCAGAATACAACTGGTACTTGTGCCCTGAGTCACATATGTATTTTGTTTCCTATAAATCACAACTCTGAAGGCTTATCATTTTGGAGAATTCATACAGGTGAAGCAATTTGAAAGTACAAAATGCTATTGAAAAATCTATTATTGCTGGAGATAAGCATAAAGAAAATATGAATCTCTTGGGGAAATTTCCAGTGACCCTACAGAGCAGAACCATGAGTTAAATAAAATATGTTTTATTTAGGAATGAAAATGACCCTGGAGAATGCTATAATATGTCTATAACAATATAAAGTAACACGATCCAATTAAATCCATATAATACTTTTGAATTTAAACTGGCAAATATCAATGAAAAATAGTCCTTTAAATTGTAGCACAATGCAAGAAAGCATTACCTTGAATAAATTATTTAAGAGCAGTGCAATATCATGTTAGGCTCATTGGCTGCAATAAAGGAAATTATTCTGATTTATCTTTGTCTTCAAGTGAAACAATTAAATAACTTTTCATTACTTCTTCTTATTAAAATTCACTTGACAGATGGATTATACGGGAAAAACATTTGCTTTTTACAAAGCATTTTAGTGATGTGGTATGCCTAATTTTTCAAGTAGATCTACTGGCAGAGTCATAACTTAGTCACAGCTCTCCTGACTCCAAGGTTAGAATCTTTTCTAGAGACTGTGCTGACTGTGATGATGGATTAGAACACTCTCTCTCTCTCTTTCTCTCTCTCTCTCTCTCTCTCTCTCACACATACTCACATACTTGCAAATGCTAAGTAGAGGGAGATTTTCACTTAGGACATGATGAGACAGAAAATGAAGTCAGTTGTTTTACTGAAAAAAAGTACCAGTGTTTAGAACTCTACCTCTCACCTGTATATGATCACTTGTTTGTCTTGTGATTATAAATCCTGCATATTTATTAATAAAGAGAAAAGAGATTAGGTTGTGAGGATGAGAGGACCCAGTTCTATAGGACATAACAATTCCTGACAGGGAGAGTGATCTCAATACTGTAGACTAGTTCAGATCACATTTGTAAGACTAAAGTCTTTGTGTTGCATGACATGAGTTACCAGGCCATGAACAACTATTTTCCCTGTAAGTAGGCATGACAATTCTGAATGTATAATGGAAAATGAAAAATGGTGAAGGTGAGAAATGTACTTCTGTCACAGAAAGGAGGTCGGAGACACTGGCTGTGTATATCGTGAAGGTTAATTTTATGTGTCAATTTGATTGGGTCGCTGGTTGCCCATATATTTGGTCATATGCTATTCTGGGTGTGTTTGTGAGAATATTTTTGGATAAGACAAACATTTGAATTGATAGAGTAGAGTAGATTGCTTTCTGTAATGTGGGTGGGCTTCGTCCAATCAGTTGAAGGTTTGAATAGAATGAAAATCTGGTCCTCCCACAAGTAACAGAAAATTCCTTCCCCTTGGAAGCTTTCAAACTGAGAGCATTTTCCTGCCTTCACACTCAAATTGAAATATCAGTTCTTCCTAGGTTTCCTGCCTGCCTTTGGATTGGAAACATCAGCTTTCCTGGGTCTACAACTTGTTGACATATCCCGCAAAGCTGAAGACTTGCCAGCCTCCATAATTGTGAGTCAATTTTTCATATATCCTATTTGTTCTGTTTCTTTGGAAAACTCTGACTAATACATGTATTTCTATATGGGGAGAATTGTTTATGTATTACAGAATTTTTTCTGTTGGCAACATCCCTCCTCCTCATTAGATAGTGCATGTGTTTGCTAGTTACTGCTAAGAAAACAAGTGAAATAGTTCTACATTTCTATGCACCTGTATCCTCATTGAATGGACAGTCTCCTAACCTTGCCAATAGACATAAGATCATTAAACTCTCCATGATACCACATAAAGAAAGCTTGCTCAACCTCCTTAGAAAGGTGTTTACACAAAATTTGATTTTCAGATTTCTGATGCCAGATTGATTTATTATGCTTCAGATTTATTTATCATTTAGGATTTATTTTGAGGAATCCACTAATTTTAACATTTTAATAAACATTCCTTAGACTGATCCCTACAGAATCATTAAGAATTAAACAGACCAAAAAAAAAAGTAGGTTTTTATTTGTGGAGTTTTTTGTTAGTTTTGGGTTTTGCTTATTTCTAAACACATGTGCAAAAAAACACTTGAGGAGAAAGAAGTTCATAACATGTATGAACTGTGCAGAGAGTCATTTTGAAAAGACTTTCCTGTGTAATACAACTGACTTCATACAAATCGAGGACAAAGAGTGAGCAGGGAAAAAGACATTGCTGATGTCTAAGAAGCTACATGAATGCCTGAACAAGATAGGGTTTGCTTATGCATGAGTCATGGTTTCAATATGAGGTTATTATAATAGAATCTGTTGTTTAATCAGACCAGCATGACCTCTTATAACCCATGGGTATTTGTTAGTGGGCTGCCAGTCTTAATATATTGAAAGCTAGAGCTATAACAAGTTTCCTCATATGGCCCTGAGACTCTTGAATGCCTCTACAATCCTGTCTTTACAGAATCAAATGAGAAAAGCTCTCTCTTCTTTCTAAGATGAAAAACATTTAATTTTGTAAACCTGTAACCATCAAAAGGCACATCACTTCCTCACCATTTCTCATCCTGGCAAGAGGAGAGAAAATACACAACATTCAAGCAGATAAATAATAAAGAGAAAGGTTCTTGGTGACATCCTTCAAGGCCTGGAATTTTTCGTGTCAGCACAGTCCCTGAACATTAGAGTCAGCTGACACCACACTTTTTATTCTAAAACAACTATAAGTTCAGTTCTGTTGGGGTAGACGAAACCCAAACACAGCTGTCTTTTAGAATGAAAAGCTAAATTATCTAAAGATGTGCTATTTTTTAAAAAATGTGATTTTTTTTCCTTTGTATTCCATACATGAGTGTATCATTTCTACATCATCTTCAGTGTGTGGGAGGAACTCAGGTCCTGGCATAAATGTCAATTAATTCTACATTTTCTTTTAGTGTCAAGATTCATGAAATACCATTTGTATAGTGTTTAAAAATGAACGAGTTATTCAACAATAATCGGAATCTGAGTTATTACCTCAAAATTCCTTTTTAAAAAGAATTTGTTTATTTAGGTAAAGTCTACAATACTGTATATCATTTAGAGGAATAGATACATTTTCCACATCCACCACCAAAGTGACCACTATCCTCCACTGTAGTCCATTGGGCCCCCTCCCCCAATTGTTTTCCATCATGCCAAACTCGCCTCCTGGTAGCCTCAATTGTATACTCAGATTTCTAGAGTTTCATTTGGTTTAATTTTGTATTTCATCTGAAGATTTTGTTTCTCTATATTCTATATATGCATGAAATCAGGTTTTTTTGTCTTTCTCTATCTGACTTATTTAGCATAATCTCCAGTTCCATCCATTTTGTCACAAAGTACAAAATAAGTAGTATTCCATTGTGTATAAATACCACAGCTTCGTGATCCACTCAACTGTCCTTGGGCACTTAGGTTGTTTCTATAACTTGGCTGTTATAGTGTTGAAATGAACATAGGAGTGCGTATATCACTTTGAAATCATGTTTTGTATTCTTCCATCAGTTATCTAGCAATGGCATTGTTGGCTTGTGTGGAAAGACTTAAATGGTTTTACAAGGGAATTTTGATTAAAAACAAAGAAGTGAGAGTATAGAACATGAAACCCCAATAGCCTTGAGTTATTTATGGAGGTAGCTTTCTGTGACAGTGTTCTACTTGAAGTGATAGTCTTTTCTGATTAGAATATAGGTCCTGAAGTTGTATGATTAAGTGATATCTCTACAGAATTTCTTGAAACAGGAATGTTATCTGATTGCATATATGTGGAGGTGGTCTAACTCTAGGTTATTTTGGAGCTGATATTGTATTTATAATACTTCAAATCATGTTCTGGTCCTTATTCCTTTTACTATCTCCAGTTTGGAGTATGATACTGTCATCAGTTGGGGAGGATACAAGGAAACTAAAGGGAATTTATTATTGGACACTCCTGTCTCTATCTGAATAATGAGGTTGAGTGTTACTGATAAGAATACATTTTATAGATATTAAAATGAGGATTTAAAAAAGCAACTTTGTACTCATTATCCCTCTGGTGTAACTGGGTCATAAAAAAAATAAGTGTTTATATAAAACCTCATGATGCAGTTTTGAATAAAGGGAACAACATCTTTTTCTTTTTGAAGCTTTATTTTTATTTATTTATACATACAAGAACTGGAGTTTAGGCCAGAGGTGCAGGGAGTGAGAGGATTCACCAGACAGAGTAGGGAGCAGAACAGGCAGAACTACTGAAATACACTGCTGAGGGGAGCAGCGGGCAAGGCAGGAGAGGTCTGCTGCACCATGTAGGTAGCTCCCTGGGCAGGGATTGAACTCAGGCCACAGGAGCAATAAATAGCATGATAATGCTGAGACTTAACTCCTGCACTACCAGGGAGGCCCAACAACCTGTTTTTATAACATCAAAATTGTTAGAACATTTATCAAAATAAAATTGATTATCCTTTCCAGAAACAATGTAAAAGGATTTGTAACAATCTTTAAAAGTGATTTCATTCATGATGGGTCCTAATCAAAGCAAAGATTATAGAGTATTATTTCTTTGAGTATAACATTTCATTAGAATTTCATTACATGAGGGGAAATATATTTCAAATTAAAATTGAATTAATCTCAAATGTCCTTATATTCTTAACTTTGAATTCAAATTTCTTTAAATCACTGTTTATATTATTTTCCTCTTATTTCTTTCAATAGATTTTTAAAAATTTATAAATTAACTTACTGTAATGGATAAATCTTATTTGTATAGAGAAGTTAACTCTTATATATACATGTAATTATTTCTGAGAAGTATTTTTTTTTTTACTCCAGGTGACTATTTTAGTATTGATAATGATATAAAGTAATTTAGATTTTTTTTCATGATGGAGTGAGTTTTAATGAAGGATATGATTGCCAGCTATTCTGGGTCACTGATCCATTTGTAAATATGATCATTTTTTTTACTTATTGACCAGAAAAATGCACATCTGAACCTTGCATATACACCATTTATTGGGCACACTGGTGATTTAGAACTTAGATTTAGAAATGATTTAAAGTCAAACCTTTTTCAATGTTAATTGTAAAATCTAATTGCTGCCATCCTTATTTGATATTCTATGTGGATGGACTCAAAAGTATAAGGTAACTCATTCTGAATGATTGATGAGTTGATTAGTTATTTGATCAATTTCTTAGGAAGAAAGAAATACAGTAAGTGTTCCCTAGGCCAGAACTCTGATTAGAAAGACAAACACAATAACTTATTTTACAATGAATTATTAAAAAATGGTCATAATGTTCTAAGAGTTAGAAACTCTACTTAAATAGAAAAAACTTATATTCAACTCATTTTTGTTTTCTTAGAATATGCAACTTTTATACTCATAGTGTAATTGGAAAAATAGGTTTCTGTGTCAATGGAAAGAAACTTATTATGTTAAAAAAATGACTATGAACTTGCTTACTTGGAGTGGCATCAATTATTGGACATTTTCCTTTCCTCAAAATGTTTGCATTTATAAAGAGCCAAAGACTGAAAGTGCATGCAAGATCACAGATAAATAGGCTTTGATGCTCTGTTCATTAAATTTTCTCTTAGATTTTGTAATTATATCTTATAATATGGGTTTCAGAGTGAGACATGTTAAAATAAGATCCTGGTTCTACCAATTGCGATATAACAGCATACTTTTTCTCATCTGTTTCCTCGCTTGTGAAATGAGTTTCCTTTCCTAAGATGAGATTATGTGCTTCATAGGACTTTTGTGAAATCATGAATAGAATAATTTTAAGTGTTTATCCCAATGCTGGTAACATGGCAATCATTCAATATGGTAACTAAAAATAGTATTGTATAGTATTATTTTTGTAGTATATGATAACTGCAATATTAAGCTAGTAACAGTGTTTGATGCAAATGCAGTCAAAATTCTTCCAGAACCTTTTCTAATAAAATTATGGATAGGTAGGTAGATGATTTATTAACTGATTAACAGATAGACAGACAGCATGTTTATATGTGATACAGTGTATGTTCTTAAAGTATGGCCCTTGCATCTCTGGAGGTCTTCCAGATTCTTTCATGGAGTTCATGACCTTAAAACTATTTTCATCATAGTACTAAGACATCGTTTGTCTTTTTCATTCTTGTCTTCTCACAAAAATAGAACAGGTTTCAGAGCTCAGAAGTCAGAAATAGGTGTAAGAATCCAACTGCTTTCTATTAAGCAAGACATTCAAGAAATTGTGCAAAATGCAATACAGTGCCACTATTCTCACTAAATTGTTATGTTTGGGAAAAAATAGCTATTTATATGAATATGTTATTAATGTAAATAGACAATGGATCCTTAATTGTTGCTTTAAATGATTTAACATATACACATATTAAATATATCTGTATTTCTAATAAAATGAATAGATATAATACACATACTATATCTTCGATATCTTGAAACTAAAAAGATTGGGAACTTCTGCTCTACAGATTGCTTTGTCTTGTGCTTTTTATTACTTAAC